CTGTGCTTTCTTTTTCCAGTTAAAATTATTGCCTGAATATTGGCTTTCTTTTAGCCAAGCTGTTCCTGGTCTTTAATTATCTGTCATGGACTAAGCCTGAGAGGTTCCTGTCTCAGTATCTGCAGTGGCTGCAGAGCCCCAGCCAAGCCACAGCAGCCTCTTTCTGACGGCAATTCAAGTTCGTGCCAATCCAGTGTTTGGATTGTTCGTTGCCATCCGTTCCATCTACGGGGAATGTCTTTGGAGTTCAGAGAGTTGCTTTTGAATTCAGAGTCACCAGTAGCTCTCTGACAAAAACCAAGCCCATGGTAAGTGAGTTCACTCATCAATTATTTCCTTTGATTTCTCTGCAGCCATCCCACTCACCATACCGACCCACACTTCATCTCGTAGGCATGTCGACACCATGGTGAACCCCAGTTTTCTGATCCTCCATTCTAATGGAGTTTATTCAGTGGCCTGATTGTATCAAAACAGGCCCGTGCCTACCTACCCCTTACATTTGATGGGAGGACCACCACTTCCAAAATTCGAATATTTCGCAAGAACACTGTATTCTTAATTTATTCCCACTGGAGCTTGTCTTTGAATCCAGAGTAAAGATGCTGTTCTCTCAATCCAATAAATATATAAATGTTGGGCAGTCAAAGCTCTTCCATAATGGCATACTACTCCAAATAGGCATTGCCTATTTTCCTTATATCACTTCCATGATTTAAAGTTATTCAAATGAAGTAATATTGTCATCATCCTTCATGAGGTCAACAAACGAATATAGGAGCACACATTTATGGAGACCACATACATTTGAGGATTCTGAAGCTGACCTGGCATAGTACCCCGTATCTCTAGCTTTCTTGTCTCATTCTTGACCATATATCATAATAACGACAATAACAACAAAAACAATTGTTACTATTATTTGTATTACTTAGTCATTACTTAGGAGGCTCTTTTTGATTGACTGAAATAGTTCCTACACTAACCAGAGCTATACTGCTTGCTGACTTTATTGTGGTTGTGCACTGAGGTAAAATGACACAATGACCAAAATATCAGCCACTGAACACTCCCATCAAGAGATCGTAGAGAAGGCACATTCCCCTGAACTACTTGCTTCTTGGTTTACGCCAAACCAAACAGCATCAGCGAGGGCTCCGTAAGCACCTCACATAAGGGTCTCATGCTAACGCCTGCTGGTGCTGGAACAGTGCTGACCAAGACAACATTCTGTGATGATGGGCATGGGCTATACCTGCACTGTCCCATGTACTGTGGCCACTGAGCCCTTGAAATGTGGCTAGCGTGACGGAGGAACTGATGTGCATAGTTGGATTTAATTTGAATTAATTACAATTAATATAGCCACACGGGGCTAGTGACTACCATATTAAAACAGTACAAGTCTAGACACAAGGGCATCTCCAGGGCTTTTTGTCTTGTTCTTTCAAGACCTAAATCTGATTTTCCTCAAAACTCCCGCTAGGGGAGACACTTTCTGTGTCATTGTAGCTATGGAGAAAAGGCCAAGTGGCTTCTCAGAGAACATGAGACCGCTCCTCTGCAACCACCAGGGGTCACTGAATTGGGAACAGGTTCCCCAGGGGCGGGTATGAACACACTCCAGGCTTTTGAGCCACACAAGCAAAGAGCTAAAAAAAGAAATTCTGAGTGGCTTGAAAGAGTATCTTGAAAAACAAAAACAGTGGAATGAAACCAGTGGGTGTCTTGTCAGCCTTAAGCAACCATTACTGCTAGCCAAAAGAACAGAACTAATTGCTTACTTAAAAGGAAAAGAAAAAAACAAAACAAGAAAAAAACAAAACATGAGAAAAGAACTTAATCAGAAAATATCTAAGGAATGTAAGTAGTTTCCATAGACACTTCTAACTAAATAGCCTGTGTATGATATTTCAACATGGCTATTCCCTTTTTTCTTTTCTTCTGTCTCTTCTAGTTCTACTCCCTCTGCACTTGACGGAGACACCTCCTTTCTTAAATGTAATTACTTTTGTTTACCAATCTAAGAGGATAAAACATATGGCACGCTTCTCTTAAAGAGGAGAGTGGTCTCCTCTTTGTGAAATGGTGACGTGTGGGTGACACAGCGGCTTTCAGGTTTGACTTGGAAGGTCCAGAGACTCTGATCCCATTAGCATTTGCCCTGCCCCTAACCAAGCACAGCTGTTTCCTTTCTCCCAACTGCTCCCCTCAGGGCCCCATTTTTTTTTTGAAGAAGAAAGGACCACCCTGAACAGAAAGGGCTTTCTATCCTCTCCTGCTTAAACCTCAGTATGGAGTTTTGTAAAAAGGAATATGGAAAACACAGCAAATCATTTTTTAAATCATCAGAGGGAAGAGGGAAGGGCTCTGAAAACAATATTATGATTTTGTTTTCTGAAAGCTGGTTAAAAGTGCCACTTTTCCAAACTTCAAGGATTCCTCTGGAAGAAGAAAATAACTATTTTCCTTCTCAGTATCGTAAAGGAGAAACACCATTAGATCTAGCAGTTCCTTATGGTCTTAATTTTCTTTCTGTCCCCATCCATCCAGCCAAAGGTTGGAATTCTGCCTGCTTTGCGAGCTTGCTCTGAAAAGCCCTCCCAAACCGCAGGGTCTAATGAATCAACTGGGAGAACAAGGACTAGAATTCCCAACCAGTAGCCAGGGTCAGCAGGTGGGGCATCAGGTGAGGGCGAGGGCGGGACAAGGCAAAAGCGGGGGTGAATGGGCAAACGGACAGAAGTAACGGCCAGAGCCCAATGGAGAGGAACTGAAGCACTCTGTCACTTGTTAATTGGTGGCCTTGTAGCCTGGACAGGGCTGGCTTCAGACAGTTTTTGAGAAAATCTGCTCAGAAGAATGCAAGGGAGGAGGCTGAATTATTAGAAAGAACCTGAAGAGGGATGCTAACTAAGAGCCAGAAAATCTCCCCATGTTGTATAGTCTTCATCCCTTTATTCAAAGTGCCTCTGCCAAGCTTCCCCTTATACACACACCCATGCGTGTAAACCACAAACACACTCAAACACAAATCTAGAGACACACGCACACACACATACAGAGATTCCCATGTAAAACACAAGCATTCTAACACATGCATATACATATTTATAAATATATACACATCTACACATAAAAACACATAAAGCACACACACACACACACACACACACACACACCCAAACACTTCGAGAAAGAAACACATCCCCAAACACATAGCTACACCATAACCCACAAATACACACATACAAACACGATGCATCCATACACATACACAAACCCTACACATTTTTATGTTCTGATAAGAAGTGGGGCTTGGGAAAACAACCAATTAATTGGGCCAAGTCTCAAAGGAGAGGAAATAAAATGAAAAATCCAGACTGGGTTATAAAAATAAGTATTTTTTTTCTTCCAACGTGCAGGAGGCTCATTATATTAATTAAACATTATTGCAGTGAACGAGAGGAGGGAGGGCGATTAGGGCTGGGATGAGGGTAAGTGTTCTCTCCTGGTGCCTGAGGCTGTGGTGATCTTCAGATATTAATCTCTGCGAGCACTCAAATGCTGAAGAGATAAACACTTGAAATATGAAAATGTTTTTCTCCAGAGCAGACGTTGTGACCCTCTGGGGAAGCAAGTGTAGGCTGTGTCAGGAGGCTGGCCACCATGCTCTCCTAGTGTTTGTCCTGCCGCCATTCCCTAGGGACAGGGGACATGGCCAGTCCTTAGGGTGAGGAGCAGCTCTGGGGAACCCTTTTATTGTCTAGTCAGGCAACTTTTAATCTATTAATTTCCAGAATTAACCCCTTTCCTCTCAAATGCTTATGGGGACCTAAGGTCCAGGCCAGGGGTGTAGGAAAATTGAAAGCTAATGCATGGTGTGCTGCAGCCAATGCCTGTGAGAGCCTATTGTTAAATCATCTGGAATTTTGCAAGCCAGTTGTTAAACGCAAGCTTTATTAAAAATTAAATTATATAAAGTTATAATTAAATAAATTATATTAAAAAGTACAGGTAATACATTCTCAAAACTCAACACTTCCTAATTATTTTAATACATTTTACCAGTACCTATGCTGCCAAAGTTATTTATATCTATTATATCTGTATGATGGAAAAAAAACCTATATACTGCAGTATGACTGCCCTTCCCAACTCTACCTCCAGCGATGGCTGGTATCTTGAATTCAATCACAGTAGGAGCATTTACATCACCAAAAATGATCAACATTATAAAGCTGTTTTTTTTGGTTTTTTTTTTAAATCCTCGGGAAGCTGATTGTGAAATATTTATCAGAATACCACTGTAAAAGAATGTAACAGCGGAGGCAGTAGCTAACTCTTGCTTCTACCTGTTTAGAAGGGGTAAAGGCAGCCCCTCACTATTAACAGTGCCATAAAGGTTTCTGAAATCTGACTCTTTGAAAGCAAAAGGGTAGCTTAATAATATTTCAAGGACTGGCAGCAACACTCTTTGAGGACCAGTGCCAGGCAGCACAGCTAGACACCCATGGGTGTGGCAGTAGTTCAGGCTCTCGACTTGGTTTGCTACAGAAGCAATGATACCCTAGGAGAAGGATCAGTCAGACTTTGAGGCCAGTGGCTTCCTAATGAGCCATTTTAGGAACAATACCCAGCTTGAAGTTGACAAGAGGCTCTGTGATGGTGGCAGTGAGTGCTGGCTACGGGAACAAGGGGACATTGACTCATCCCATCTCCTAGGACCTCCCCATTGCTTTCTTTCTTCCTCTTCTTTTATCTTGGTCTCTCTTGCTCCCTCCCATCTTCTTACACTGTAATCACAAGAGTGGGTAGGAACCACCAACCCATTATTCTGTGGAGTGACGTTGTGAGCAAAGACTGTGGTGGTTTGTGGGCAAAGAGCAGAGGATTGCTCTGTGGTGAGGAGTTATGAAGCCTGTCAGGGACTCTGGAGCTGAGAAACATGGGGCAGGCTAGCCTTAACTCTTTCGGCTCTTACTTCACCGCGGGCTTACCTGGAAATGTCCGGTCGTTTGGGCTGGAGCTGCTGGTCCAGGTGCTTCTGAGCCACTTGGCATGGTCGTACATCCAACCACAGGTCTCCTCCGGGAAATCAAAGTTGCAGTTGAATCCTGAAGGGAGCTGCAAATCTTTGTCTAAAAGGGGGGGGGGGGGGGGGAAATAACCCAGAGGAAAGCAAATGAAATGGATTCAGAGAACAGCCACAGCGGTGCTATTTAAATGGCTGGCAAGGCCTGAGTGCAGAGCAGAGAAAGAAGTGGCTCCCTTTGCTTATTCATTTAACTCATCTTGGCGATCGCTGGCTCTCGGGTCAGCCTGTGGTCTCATCCTTCCCAGGCATGAAAGCCAAGTCTGCCAGTGGTTCCCATAGTAAGCAATTATAAATGAGGCCACCAAATGGCTTCAGGCTCTAATCAGCCTCTTCTGTCCACCTCGGAATGCAGACAAATGTGAAAATCGCTGTTCCCTAAATGCTAGAGAAGAAATGTCTCCCCAGTGCCTCAGTGGAAGGCTGGCTCCTGCCAACCTGGCTCTCAGAAGTGATGGGGCAGTCCATTAGCATCCAGCGAGGCTGACATGCCAGGGAGGTGCTGGCCAGGGAGGAGACAGTGGCCTCAGAAACAAGGAAGGCTTGTTTGCTACCCTTTACCAACGTGGGCTACGTCTCTTATTTCAGAAGACCAGGTCATTTCGGCTTCCACAGGGGGAGGGAAGGCACTGCCAGGCCGGAGATTTGGCATGGTACGGCAAAGCGAGGGGGCCAGACCAGCCAGGTGCCTAGCTCAGCACTGACCAGGAGGAAAAATAATTCCACCTGGTGCGAGTGCCTGAAGGCCCGGATCCTAGGGCAGCAGCGAGTACATTCCTCATGGAAATCTAAAAAGTGACCACACACAGTGGCTTGTCCTGACTGCTCAGTTGTTCACCTGCCTGAGCTAGAAGATTGAACCCAGGGTTCTTCTTTTGAGGTTCCACTCAGCTCTAAAACTCCAGTGTGAGCTGGTGCCAAATATGTGATTAAGTGGGGGTGGGTGCGAAGGTGGGGAAAAGACAGGAAATGGGAACCCAAATTTGGAGGCTTGCCGGCCATGGCTGTGGAGACAGCAAAACATTGCTGGCTAATGCTGGTAGCAGAGAGGAAGAGAGGTCTTTGGCCTTCTCACTTTCCTTCATGGGGTTCCCAGGGAGGAATTTCCGCGAGAAAGGCCTAGAATGCGGGTTATAAAGTCTAAAGGGAACAACAGACTGGTGGAAACAAATTGCTCACACGATTGGGGTGAGGAGGGCTCACCTTCGAGGGAAAGGGCACTGATGGCCTCAGAGGCAGAGTGCCACCAGGCCCTGTTTGTATGTCCCCTTCCCAAGAGGGAGTATTTAATGTCTGCCCACACATGGCCAACGTCAGCTTGGATCAAGAAGAAACACATGGAATCTATTACAGAAGCATCAACCTGTGGCTTGGAAAAGTCAGCCCTTAGCCCTCACCATCCCCTTCTCCCAACAATTTCTGAATTTTTATTTTTCCGTTCAAAAATATGGAGTAATTCAATATACCGTAATTCCCCTCTCATGTTTACATGCATACTATATCTCAGGAACCAAATTCCACACAGAGATCTTTCGTACAAAAAAGTGAAGGAAGGAGCCACCAAAGAAACCTCAAATGAAACAAACCACTACAAACGGGAAAATTATATTAAACTTCTGAAAGTTTGCAGCAAAACCCTTAAATTTTCCCTTGGATTGGCATTTAGAGAGAACCCCTCCTCTTGCCCTCCACCAAGCTAACTCTGCTAATCCGATACCATATATTAACTCCCTATGCATTCCACTTTTGGCTCTCAAACTATCTTTTTTAAAATTGGGGGGTTGGGGGAGGGGAACAGTGTTGAGGAATTGGGGGAGGGGAACAGTGTTGGGGAATTGAGGAAGGGGAACAGCCAAGCTGTTGTCTTTCAATCTTAGTTGTGGAGGGTGCAGCTAGCTCAGCTCCAAGTCCAGTCATGCTGCTCAGCTAAAGGTGCTGTGTTCAATTAGTTGCAGGTGGGCATAGCCACCATCCCATGCGGGAGTCAAACCAGCAGCCTTGTTGTTAAGCGTGCACGCTCTAGCCACTGAACCATCCGCCAAACTGTCTTAAACATGTCTTGGAAGATTCTCCAAGTCTCTTTCTCCTCTTCGTAAGACAAAAACAAGTTCATTAAAATGTCGGAATTCTGTATTCAACTAACCCTGACCAAGTGTCCCTCCGCCCACACAATATACAAAAGCACATTCCTAAAAGCATATGCATTAAATTATCATTTTTCAGTCACACAACTTCAGCATTTATTTTTGGCTTCCCTCCCATTCTTCTTTGCAGCCATTTTTTTTTTTTTTTTTTTGGAGTCATCCACTGCATCAGCGCAGTTCCTCGGGCTATCCAATGGTTGAGTGTGCGGGTTTGAAAGCTTCCACCATCGACCTATGGAGTCGGTGCTACATCTTTATGTCTCCACTTCCCAAGCCTCTTCACCAATCTTCCCTCATTTTATTTAAATGAATGTTTAATAATGATCAGTAATTTAATGCGAATTGTCAAGAATTAAATTCTAGCCAAAAATGCCAGGTGTTCCAAAATTTGTGGTTTGTTAGGAATGTCCTCATGCTCCGTAAACTTAGCAGTCTGATTTAAAATGTGACGTGCTGTTGGGCTCTGCCAATTATTGTTTTTAACCAACTTGAATCTGTTTAGAAGATGAGATGTAAGTAATACAGATTTCCCATGTGAAGAGACTGGCCCGCAATGAGGAGGCCTGGAGTGGTGAGGGAACGGTTCAAGTGCCTTTTCACATTTCTGCCTTTGTCACTGACCTTCACTCACCTCAGAGAGGATGGGATGTACTATCTTATACAGTCATAATTATAACATTTTCTCCACCAGCGGTGGTGAAAGACAGAGGGAGATGCAATTAAGGAATGGTTAACTGCTGAGTTAACCCGGCTATTGTGCTCCACGGACCATATCACCTACAGATCGTCACCTGACTGTACCACGAAGACACAGCGTAGTAGGTAAAGGATCAAGGCTGGGGATTTTAGGATTTGAAGTGAGGGCCAGAGAAGGAGACTTCTCGAAGGAGGAGTCCTCTTTAAATGGACCCTTATCTCAGCTGATGACCAGTGGGTTCATGTCTGTGGGGCTGTACGCATTTGTCCCAATATCTACATACTTCTACATTGGTTTGTAAATGGCCACTGCCCCAAACCCCTGAGTACACAACACCTCCCTGATCTCTGACCCAGGGGAACCCCCAAGTCCCTGCTCCAGCCACAGGCCAGCCTCTACTCCAGCTGGTTGACACCTATGCCATCCTGGATGAAATACAACTTTGACCCCCGATCCTCACCATCCTCAAAGCTGCAGTTCTCCCCACACTCTGTGGTCTCCTCATCAATGGGATATGAGGTGGTGGTCTCTTCACTCTTCATGGTGGGTCCCAGCGTCTCTACTGTGGGCTTGGCGTCTGAGTAAAGGAAAAGGAAGAGACGTGAATGCTGCATGCAGCAGCCTGCATTGAAACCAGCAGGAGGAAGATGCTAAAAACTAAGTTTCCTCGCTAAGTGTGTGTCATTAGATAAGGAAAAAGAAAGGAAAATGAAGATGAACACACACACACACCCTCTCTGAAGTCACCTCTGTGTGCTGTCAATGAAGCCAGGAGCATAGCCTGAGTTGAACGAGGATGGTTCCAAGCTGCACAAACATCCTTGACAGGGGCACAAACCCAAACCCATGCTCTTTACTACACAGCAGAAGCCCTGAGGCCGGCACAAGGGCCACAAAAGACAGTCATGGAAACGGGTGATGCTGACCCCAAGACAGGGCTAAACCATGTTCTGTATATCCTGTTTAAGACAGAGGTGTGGGTGATGCACACACACAAAACGAACTTTGCCCATCAAAAACAGTTTGAGAAACTCTCGTGAGCGTAACGATGTGGAAAATGCCTATCTGTGCACTGCCTCTTGGGTGGCAGCTGACGTGCGTTCCCAGCTCGCTCTGGCTTTCACATGGAACAGACTTTCTCTTTTCAGCCTTCTCTGAGTCACAACTTTTTGAACCAAAGATAATGCGATTGAGCGGGCCCACCTATAATAAGATAATCAGAAGCACAATCGCCAAAGCCATAAGCAAAGCCAGACGCTTGGGAGGTATGACCCCAGACACTGTTGTTCGTGTTTGTGCAAAACGGACTAGAAAGGAATATGGATTCAAAGAGATTCAGACTCCACTTGGTGGAAATAATTTGGGGCTGTGCCTTTAGGTCAGGGTGTGGCAAATTTAAATGCTTCCTGGATGTAAACAGCTCCTGTAAGCGAGGATGGCTGGCTGGGGGTTGGGAAGAGAGTAAAGGGTGTGACAGAAGGTGACAGAGGGGATCTTGCATGCCTGATTTAAAGGAGGACACCATGACTGGCTCCAGCAGATTGAGGACCCCGGGGGTGGGAGGTGGCCCCGTGTGGCCAGATCTTGCAAAAAACAGATTTCCCACACAAATCCAAAAATCCCCATGGAAAACCTCCAGACTTTGTCTATGTTGGCAACTTCTTTGAGATATTATAACAGTTGCACGCAACAAAACCTGACTGAAGGCAGTCAGCTCTGACCCAGGTGAATCCTTCACCCATCTATTCACTAGTCTGTTTGCTCATGCCAGTCATTCATTCAGCAACCATTTATGACACGAATGAAGATGTGAGTCAGGCCCTTGGGTGGGGCAAAAAGGAGTCTGGTAATTGGGGTGGGGTCTTCCCCAGAGCTGCCTCCAATGAGACTCCCCCAATAAGCCCATGCATTGTTCCTCCCATTTCTATACATGTTCCCTTGCACCATTGTGTGTGATTAGGCGTCTTTGTCAGGCCTCTTCAGGATACCATTTAATAAAACCAGGAGCTAAAGGAAATCACTAAATACACTGAATGGCTTTTTCACGGTCGACTTCCCATCTTTCTGCTATTAAATACTACGCACATAACCTTTTAGACTTCCCTTTGCCGTGCCTGCCTCTTGCTCACAGTAAATAGCAAATAACCTCAAAGCGTCCCAATTTGTAAGTTCAAATTTGTCACTGTGTCACAGAATCTCAAGCTCCATTGTAAAGCGCGCTCTGGGCAGCAAGGCAAGAAAGAACCATTTGAAACACAAACCAACCAACAGGTGAAGCAGCTCTGTCAAATTATTTAGCTGCAGCCACTCTGCCCAGCCCATGATTTTCCCTGGTTAGGAATGAAGAAGTGAACCAAGGATGAGTCACCAGAATGAAGGGACACGTGAAAAGCAAGAAAGCCACACGGCCTAGGAGAGCAGTGTCTGGAAATGTTAGGTAGCAAAATGGGTAAGCAGGTTGGTGGAGACTTTAACTCCAGGGGCACAAGAGGCTAGCGAGGCCACAGGAGGGTGGGGCGTGTGACTGACAGCGAGGAAACAGCAGCCGGCCTCTATGTCCACTGTGTTTGTACTGGGCGCCCCAAGGTAACTGCCCAGTAAACTGCAGCGCTCCCCACAATTGAAACCAGATGTCCGAGACTTCAAAGGGAAGGAGGCTGGGCAGAGGGTAACAAACCCTAACTCGGATCTTCCGAGGAATGGCCAGGCAGGACTTTGAAATGAGAAACCTGTTGCTGAGCATGGCTGGTGTAATTTGGGGCAAGAGTGGAAAAGGCCATTAGCAACTGTCCGGCCAGTCGTAAAGCAGGGCCGACCTGGGAGAGGCATGGCACCGAGGGGCAGAGGAGAACAGGGAAGCGTGAGCCAGCCTCCAGCTGGCGGCGTGAACTCTGGCAAGTGGCTTCCTCTCTCTGGGACTCAGTTTCCCTGTCTGCAAAAGAGGCATTTGTTTGGATCTATGATTTTTCAAATTGTATGTCACACTCATTAGTAGGCTGTGGAATCAATGTCATGAATGGGTCAAGATTCTTTTAAAAACATGGACTGTAATATTTCAGGGTGCACTCACCTGGTAAGGATGAGCACTGCTTTGGGAACCTTTTGTTTTCGTTACATTTACGTATGCTAACAGGTTTAGTAGGTGCCAGGCTGCAGTTTTAAGTACTTTATAAATTCATTATTTTATTGAATCCTCATAGCAACCCTAGGGGTTGTAGTTGTACCATGATCATCCCATTTTTCAGCTAAGATAAATGAGATGTTGAGAGGCTAAGTAACTTGTCTGCAGTTATGCCACCAGCGGTCAGCAGAGTCAGGACTTGTACTTGGCAATCTGTCCCCAGAGTCCTGGCACTTAGCGATACACTAGTCCCCATAGGCACACACATGTGTGTACTTAAGTGTGTGTGTGCACATGCCCGCATGTGTGCTTATAAGTCAAGTGGGTGGTGATATAAATTTATTTTAAATTGTGGATGATGATTAAAAATGTTGGAAAGCCACTGGCAGAGAAACTCCTGTGTCCCCTGGATCTCTAACCCTCTGATGCTGAGGAGGCCATAAATGAAGCCATCTGTGTCAGTGTTGGAGGGGCAGTTTCCAGCACCTGCAAGTAGACAGGTGATGCACATTCATCAGGCTGCAGGGAAGCGTGGCCTTACTCCTACCTAATGGGGAGTACAGTATCGTCCCACTGGATGTGTTCACTGGGGCTGCCTCCAGTCCAAAGGTGAGCGAGGCTCATTTGGGCCTGATTGCCGCCTGCGTGCCTCAACGGGACTCCACCTCTGTGCCCTCGTAGCTGGTGCTCAGGCAGCACTTTTCTCCCTGGGAGCCAAAAGCACTTTTCTGACATGCCCTTATTAATCCTTCACGATACTCTGCTAGGGGAGCTGGTGACAGGTACAGCACAGACAGGAAAATGGAGATACCTGGGGCCCTGGTGAAGAGGGGCAGGAAGGCTCAGCCTGCCTGAGGCCCCTGCTGGCACTGGGCTCGTGTGGCTGCCCTGAGCTCCATTTGGCAAGCAGCGAGTGAGCTCCAGGGGAGATCAAGTGCCAGCTTGGCCGGGGGAGCAGGGCTGGGGCACGGAGGAAAGGTGGGGCCTGACTCAGAAAAGCAGGGTGCTTCCCTGGAAACAAAAGGTGGGCATTGCTCAGCAGGCCTTTTCCTTGTTAAGAAGAATTAGAGGTGCTGCCTGGACCTGGGCTGCCTGGTGAAGGCAGGTATGAGCCAAACGCGTGCCACACACTGGGACGAAGTCCTGTTCCCATCAGCTCACCAGCAACGGGGTCCCTCCTGAGCAAATAAATGCCTTTTACAGATGTGGCTTCCAAATGAAAATGAAGTCTCTTAGCCACTGACATCTGGAGGCCAGATTCAGACATAAACCGATTACTTTATCGTGAGGATTTTTTTTTTTCCTTCCCTAAATCAACAGCCACAGCTCCCTGGCATGAAGAGTAAGGGTCTAATTGAATTTGGGTGGGCAGTGTGTGGTTATGATTTGTTTTTGAGAGACTCGGGTTGGAGAGCTGAAATGATCCTTTAAAAATGACAAAGCACATCCCTTGAGAGTGTCCCAAGACTAGAGGCTGTAGTGCCCGTGGTTTGAAGCAGGAAAATATGGCGGGGCCCAGGGTGGGAAAATGGGTGTCCCCTCTGCCTGCATCCATGCTATGGTCTGACCTCCTCCCAGGGCATCCTGGAAAGCCAGGGCCTTACCTGTCCAGTCACAGCCAAGCACCTCCAGCCGCATCCCGATTCCTGCCGGTGACCACCTCTCGGGGTACACCCGCACGTACTGTGCCAGGACGGGGTCGAACCTTCGGATGTCAGGGGTGTCGTAGTGCATATTCCCTTCAAAGAGCTGCAGGGGAGACAGGCCGCTCAGCCTTTCTGGTGGGAGACCCCTCCTCCACCACCCCCTTCTTCCCTCTCCACCACGGTTTCCTCCCCACCCCTCACATGCCACCAGAAGGCAGCGTCCTAGTGTCGCATGGTCGTTGGACATTACAATCCATGGGAGCTCTGTTCTCAGACCAAGGTTCTTATTCAATTGGAAGGTGGTCAGAGAGCCACAAACACAGAAAACAGGGAGTAGATGAAAGTAGCAGCTGCCAGGTCCTGTCTTCTATTGTGAACCTGAAACTGAGGGCTTGGAAAAGCATTAGACTCCAAATGAGCCTTAAGCTAGACTTAGCTAGAGAGAAGAAAAGGGAGTTAAGGTTGCTTTGCCTGTTCTGAGGTCCTCAGTTTCTTAGAAAAAGAAGTTCTAATCTAGCTCTGTTTCTAACGCTTGAAAGTCTAGATTCAGAAAGTCCCAGTTAACCGATCACTCCAAGTTCCCTGAGGGCCTGAAGGCAAAGTGACCATCCCCTTCTTTAGGTCAACAACAACATCCTCTGGTCACACATTGATAGTCTGAGACTGTGTTCCCCAAACCTTTGCTTAGCGGAGGTAATTCTGTGAAAAGAAAACTTGCCTAGAGCCCCAGTACATAAAACTGATCACAGTGGGGCTGCGCTGACTGAAGCTAGGTGGGGAACCCAACCCAGGGCACACCTGGGAGCCACTAATTTAGGGGAATGTGGGTGTGGGGCCAGCGAAGGGCTGTGGCTGATTAGCATTCATGAAAGCTGCAGGACCGTTCCATTTTGCAGAATGCCCAGGGTCCCCGATTCCAAAAGTGGGGGGCGCTGTCACAGGGAGGGCAGGCTCTGACGCTGGCTGCGATCGTCTCCTTTCCCAGGTCCCCAGAATGGCTAAGAAGAGCCAGGGTCAGGTCTCCCCAGGGAAGCCTGTGGTTTAACTTCTCCATCCACTGAAGGTTCTGGTTACCAAGCCCTGAGCCTTTCCAAGCCTCTGGAATTGTGAGCTGGGAGTTGACATCAGCATTGCAAAACCTCCAGCCCAACCCTTGCCTCTGCGTTAAGAATGAAAACATTTGCTCAGTAGAGGGGCTAACCAGAGACATGTGATACGCCCTTCCTTGTTAGGGGCCCTGCTCGTCTGAGAAAAATGAGGGGTAACTTAGAAATGAGGTTTGGAAAGCCTGGTGAATTGGGACATTCACCTGGAAAGGGACAGAGGTGTGACGTCCTCTCCCCTTCCTGGGGCTCCTCTGTGCCCTTTGGTGGGCTGACCTTCACTGCACTGGCCTGCACTTGTGGCCTGTACGCAGTTTCTCTTGCCTTTTGGCAGCCCCAGGAGGAGAGGCGGGAAAGACCCAAGAGTCAAGACCAGGAAACTACAGAGGAGGGTGGCAACTTTCAGAAAAATACAGTTATTTTTGGAAGTAAATCCCTAGTCTCTATAGTTTAGCCTCCAAAAACCACATCTCCTTTGGATGTCTGGCCAATTCTGAGGAAACTTTGTCTAAAAGAGAGTATAAAGGGCATCAAACTTTATTGAAAGGCACTGTTGAGCAGTGGTCAGGCGTTTGGGCTCTGGATTCACACTTATGGGACCCGAATCGTGACTCTACCACAGGTATACAGGGTGTGGCCCTCGGCATGACATCAAAGCCTCAGTTTGTCATCTCTAAAACGGGAGTGACAAAAGGGCCTACCTTCTAGAAATGTTGTGAGGATTAAAATAATAATAAGGGTTAAAATAAGGCTTTTGGCACAGTGCCTGGCACAAAGTAGTCTCTCAATTAATATTTGTTTTATGGGATGACAGGAGTTTAGTAATGGCTGTCTAGATGGGAAATAAACACCCCCAACTTAACCTCCCTGTTTAGGGTAAGGTCCATCAGGAACCGCCTACCTTCGGCTGCTGGGTCCTGGGGTCCTGGATGTATTCCCAGTCCTTGCCGTTTAGACCGTAGGAGACTTTGAACTTGCGCACAAATGCCCTGGCTTCCACCGCAGTGATGCTGTCTCCTCCTCGGGCTCCCTGGATGATGACGCCTTTCACCGTCTTGGGCGCTCCCAGGTCCACCTGAAGCCACTCCTCACCCGGCTGGGCCTGAGGGATCCGAGGGAACCAGCCTGAGCGGCTGCTGACCAGGCGGGCGGCACTGGGGCTCCAGAGGTACTCTCGCGTGGAGGAGGCAGAGATCTGGGGGTCGGCGATGAGGCCGGAAAGCATCCCCAGCATGTTGGAGCAGGGGGCGTCTGCAGAGAGAGGAGGAAAATGCAAGAGGTCAGGGCTCCCACCCAATAACTGGGGCCGCCCCCCATCAATAGGGAGCTGTAAAAAAACCCAACTATTACACGCTAAGTCAGCACTGGGAGCCAGGCTGGCTGGGTTCATGTTTGCTGTGCCACTTACTAGCTGTATGACCTTGGGCAAATGATGGAATCACTCTGGGCCTCAGTTTCACCAGGTCCAGAGGACTCATAGCAGTACTTACCACTGAGGCATTTCTGTGAGGATTCCGTTAGTTCCTATTAAAAAGTTCACAGCACAATGCCTGGCACGTCTAAGCGTCTAAGGCTGTTAGCCAAGGACTCTCACATCCTTGTCAGTGACACCTGTCCCCACTGACCCTCCCAGGGGTGGTGAGCAACGGGGAGCTCAGCTGAGCATTGTTTCCCGGGTGATTGGTTTCCCAGCTGGACGGAAACCTTCCTGGGTGTTATTAACTTCCATAGGTGTTGTTATTACAGCTCTTTACGGAATTCTTCCCACATGCTGTTCCTGCCCCCCCAAATGCTCTTCCCCTCAGTCATCACCAGACTAACCTCTACTCACCCCCCAAAAACTTGTGTGTCACACCCTCAAAAGGCTGTTCCCAAACTTTCAATCAACAGTCAACTAGGTCCCCTCAATCACTCTATCTCAGAGCGCCCTGTTCTTTTCCTCCAGACACACATCTTAGTTTATAATTATCCAATGCCTGTCTTTGTTTATTATCTATCTTGCCCACTAGCCTGAAAATTCCATGACGTCAGAGACCCCATCTGCTTTGCTCGCTTCTCTAGCCCTAGCTCCCAGCATGGGGCCTGGCACACTGCAGGCCTTCAATAAGTTAGTGGAGCTAATGAGTGAGTGGAGAATGCATGAGTAAATGGCATCTGGCAAGGCAGGGTTTACAGTCAGTGTGAATTAAACACTTGTACACTGAGTTACAGATCAAAACGACCCTCTAGGTGGTCCCCATTCTTCAAATCCACTGGTTCTCTTTTCAATTTTCCAGAAAATAAGTCTTAACTAAGCCCTGGCTGGTTAGCTTGTGCTGGCCTGGAAGAGTAATATGAAAGGGACAGAAAGCAGTCCCTTAGGTGGAGTTAGGATGAACCACTCCCATAAGAGGGAAGCCAAGTCTTGTGTAAAGGTGACAAGAGCAGAGAATTTGTATTGAGGAAACGTGGGTTCAGTTCCTGGCTCCGCCACCTCCTAGTTGCGTGACTCTGGGCAAGCTGTTATCCTCTTTGAGCCTTGCTTTTCTGCCCCGTTCACCTTATAGGGTTGTTAGGGACAGTAGAAAGGATGGTATCCAAAGAAGGGATGTGAAAAATGGAGAGGCCATATCAATGTGAGGTGTTTGAACTAGAAGCTTAAAACAGGTCCAACCATGCAGGAGTCCCTCTCAGAGCTAGAATGGTTAAGAGACAGTATAGTGGACAGATGTACACTGAAGACCCTTCCAAGCCAAAGAAGCAACTTGCTTGCTGTGGGCTGAGTCCACAAGATGAAGGGTTCAGATCGTTTATTAATGGCCAGGGCTGGTCCAGCCACCATCTTCTCTCATCCATACCTCCGCACTAGCCTCCTCATGCTATCCTAGCTCCCCCTCTGGTCCCTCCAATCTGCCCTCCACGTTATACCTTTTCCATGCCCACCCCCCCCACTTTCTCTTTTGGTCCTTCTTGCCTCAATGCCACTGAACAAGCTGTGACCACTGCCTGGTGCACTTTCCCTCCCCCCTTTCACCAGGTAATGCCTATGTGCCCTCTGCCATCATCTCAGTCACCACCTCCTCAAGGAAGTCGTCCCTGACCTCCAGGGCTGGGTCAAGTCCCCTAAAATATTTTTTATCATAGTTTTGATTTATGAGCTTGTCTGTTTATTACTATGTCTTCTCAATTTGTCCAGATGCCCCCACAGAAGTGGGTTTGTTGTGCTCATCATTGTAACCATAGCATCTTGCATACCTCTTGGCTCCCAGTTGAGGCAGCAGAAAGTGTTGAGAGCTGGGCTCTGCATTCAAACTGCCTAGATTCAAACCCTGGCTCTACCACTTAGTGGCTGGGGGACCTAAGACTTCAAGTCTTGGTTTCCCCATCTGTAAAGTGGGAAGGATAGTAACACCTACCTCATAGAGTCCTTGTGAGGATTATAAAAGATAACACATCTTAAGTGCTTGGAATGGAACCTGGCACATAGAAAGCATTCAAAAAATGTTAGCTAGTAGAAATAGTAGACACTCAATAAATATATACTGAATGAATGAATGAAAAGATGAACTCTGCTAGGACATGTCCTTGAACCAATCCTTCTGGAAAGGTCACGTGGTGCAATCATGCTGTTTGCAGAGACCTGAAAGAGGCAGCAGAGCCCAGAACACAATCCAACCTCACTGGAGCCCCACCTCACCTGTGACCCGGCAGCCAAAGAGCTCCAACCGGAGGGCGATGCCCGAGTGCCAGGTCTGAGGGCGGACCCTGACGAACCTCGTTAGCAACGGCGTGTGCAGCTTGTTCAAAACCACCTCTGTTGCATCATTGTTGGCTTGGAATACCTGTAACATAAGACACGAAACCGCGTTATTAAAACCCCCATTCGTAGTTTAGCCGCTCATGCAGCCTTTCAAGGGGATGGGAAAGTTGTGATGAATTTTATTTCCCTCAAGTTTAAAAATAATCAGTGGGTTTGTTGTTTGGGGCCTCTTTTAGAAGCACCATGAAAAAAAAAATCTAATTTCTCACACAGCTTTAACTTGAACACAATAAATAGTCTTCACAAAAATTTGGAGGCAAAGAAAATTTTGCCTCTGGGCTGAGTGCAAGCTGAGGAAGGCGCCTTGAAAAGGAAAACACTTCAGAAGCTGAGAGAGAGAGAGAGAGAGAGAGAGAGAGAGAGAGAGAAAAGTAGAATATCCTTTAAAAATGTAGCAGAAATGTCATCTTTTAGGGCTAGCGGACCTCACTCACTAGCTTGAACTTGATCGACCTCTCTCTCTTCCTCACGTCGCAGGCATATTACTATTTGCAGGGTATTTTATAATTTATAAAGTTCTTTCAAATTGTTTTTGTTAGTCACTTAGAGGCCTCTCCGTGCTACGAGTGGGTGAGAGGGTGGGGGCACCGTCTATCCTCAGTGCCCCTGTGTCAGTCAACACATTCTAGGTCTTTGTTGGAGGGTCAGGGTTGCAGACAGTCCCGTTGGAGCCCCGCTCTGGCTTCCTCTCACTGTAGTCCCCGCCCTGTAATGAAATCCATCCCTGTCCCCATCTGACCAATGCATCTCTTATGGGAGGAAAGGCTTTTCGAATAGCTTCTAATCCAACATGGTGGGAGCAAGTCCTAGCTTACCAGATGGCCCAAATCAATAACTGCCATATGGACCTTATGCTTTTTTGTGCTCTCCATTTAAAAAAAAAAGTAGCTGGAGCAAGTAAGTATATGTGAGTTTTTCTTGGTTTCCCTGGATAAGGGTGGAGGGAAAGACCGACTAAACAACCATCACGTCTAAGTCATACCTGCCACAGCCATAACAACCAAGTGATTGTAAATGTACTCACAGCCGACTCTGTAACAGCCAGCAGTTTCTCCTGGGTAGGGGGACTAGATGCTTCAGCTCATGATACCTATAACGTGTCCAGTGGCTGGGCACTGACAGGGCTGGGGCAAGAGGAACGGGAAACTGGTATAATAAAATACGAATACCTTTGAGCCAGACACTCTGTAAAGACAATTACGTCCAGAACATCCTGAAGGTTAAGTATTATTATTGTTACTTTATTGATGAGGAAATTGAGGCTCAGAGATGTCTGTCTGGGTGCGAAGCCCTCGCCACGTTCTTAGGCTTTAAGCTGTGGTTTCCTAGGTTGACTCTCATCTCTTGCAATACCTTTGCAGCATTTCTGTGGGTGGCAAGGAGTCATGGAGCCCCTGAAGGTCTCCAAGCAGGGGTTGAATAGATGTAGAGCTGCTGTTCAGTGATGTGTTCCCAGTGTGTTTATAATTCCCACTTAGAATGCTCTGGGCAACAGCCAAGAGCAGCACGGAAGCTCAGAGCTAATGAACAACGTGTTCCTTTCTTCTCCGGAAACTGTTAACTAGGAGCTCTGCCATTTGGCAACCTTGACCCTGCCATATTTCCCCCTTGCTAAGGTCCAAAGTTAGAGCCATTTAATAAATCGCATACCACTGATGGGGAAGGCAGAGGGCAAGAGATATCACACGTTTTGCAACCAAATGAGAAATAGCTTGCTTACGGTACATAGAGGGAAGGAAAGGGGGAAACAGGCTTTTGCCAGTCCACCATATTCTGTTGAAATCTCTTGCTTCTCATGCGAAGCCCACCGAATCCTTGGGAGCCTCCGGCCCTGGTCCGAAGGCCGTTAGTTGCCTCTTCTACTGCCCTACTAACCAAAGGGAGGCAGAAGAAGGACTGCTGGACCTCTCATCTCTCCCAGGTTCAATGTGGCCGCTTCCTGCATAGTGACTGAGGATAAAGAGGGGTGAGGAGACCAAGTAAGGGGAGGAGAAGGGCCAAAGAAACGGACGGAAAGAGGGTGAGAGCTGGACGCCTGGGAGAAGGCCTATGGAGAGAGGCACAGAGAGGTGCCCGAGGCGCTGTGATCTGAATCTCGGAGAGGGATGACCGGAAGGAGGGAGCAGGGCCCAGGAAGGCCCAGGCCTCGCCATGCCCATTCCTCGGCTTCCTGAGTACCTACAAAGGGCTCTGCAGCCCTGAGGAAAGGGATGGCGGAGCTGAATCCATTTAGGGAAGGAGATTCATCAGTTCTCCTAGAACCAAGTGTGAGGCAGAGGCTTTCTATTTGTTTTCCATTTTGTTTTAGCAAGGAGGAAGCAACTGCAGCACCTTGCTTATTTTGGACGGGTGCTATGAGCAGTGTGGGGTCAGGGGGACACCGCTGGCCAGTTCCCTGAGGATGGTGACGGCGACCGTATGTGGTCTCCATCAGGAGATGCTAAGGAGCGGGCGGAGGGGGCTTGATATGCCAAGTGATTATGTAATTGGAGTGTGGAGTGGATTTGAACTTTAACACAGCTGTAATCCACAGCACACACACCATGCTGGTACCGTTTAGAAACACAGCACGTCTTATGTGTTTTTAATATCCAATTTGATCTTATCTGACCCCGTCATTTCTCAGCCTTGGCAGATAACACCACGAAACTTTTTCTGTGTCTTTGGACTGCCTTTGGGAAGCTGGCGTGTGTATGAATGTGGCTGCATGTGGCTGTATGTGTGAGCACGCCCGCGTGTACATGTCTGCGGAGAGGGTTGGTCCTCCCATGGATGCACATGGTCACAGGCTTTGGGGGAGCCCCCCAGATCTCTGCCTACAGTGACATCAGTCAGGAAGGGAGGCACGCACTCAGTTTATCTGCCCTAGGCCGTCAACCTGGCTGTTCACATTGAACTTCATTCTGCCATTCCTTTTTTGCTTACATTCTCCCACCCCTGGAACCAAATGAAGTCTCTTTCAATGTGGCTTCAAATTACCCATCATGCTTCCAAGCAGAGTCCCCTTTTGGTTTCTTATTTGCTTTTGACCTTGGGCTCATATCTGCCCTCTGCTCTTTGGACGTTTTGCTGATGGAATACCATCTTATTTTATTCAACTATTTATATACCTTTCACTCTGAGTGTGGCATACTGGGAAAAACCAAAACAAAACCTGAACACCACTGAACTAGGAGCCAGGAGACAGATTCTGCTGTTGATTAGCTCAAAAATGTGGGCAAATATCTATTTCCCCTGGGCCCCAATTTCCTCCTCTATTAAATGAGGGGATTGTTTGAGTTAATTTGCAAGGTCTTTTCTGTCCCCTAGATTCTAAGGCTTTTTTTTGCAAGAGTTTCCAATCTAGAACTGCCCCAAGAGTGTCCACTTTGTAACAGGGCCTTTTAGTTATCCATTGTCCCTTACAGCCTAAGTGCTTTTGTGGACAAGTGCTGTGGATTTTTATATACTTTAAATGGTGCCCAGAACTCATGGTGAGTGTCCCACTCAGAGGGCATGTATGCCTTATTGATGTTTCGGTTCAATAACAGTTCAAATTATTAATAACAAAGAGTAATAAATAACAACACCTTAGTCCTTACATATTGTTTTTTGCCCAAAGATATCAAAGATATCCATTTTTAATGAAATATTAAGCACTTTCTAGTTCTCCTGACCCAATGGATTTACAAGGTCTCTATTTTTCTCCTTGTAGCTTCCTATTTATAGCTGGTAAATGCTATCATATATTATACATCTTTATGACTTTCTCAATGCGTCTGTGGTTTAAGAATCACCCTTCATATGTTTTCTGATCAAATTCTCTGAGATGGATTCTTGGCTTCCAAGTCTGGGCATTGCAAGGTAAGGAGCTGTGTGCATGGGAAGCGATGCCAGGAAATTGGTTTTATTCCCTATTCCCCGCCGACTCACTGAATCACTATAGGCAAATCAATAAACCTTAGATACTCTGGTTTCTCCTTCAGGAAAATAAAGTCAATAACAGGCTTGCAGATAGACACTCAAGTCTACCAGCCTTCCCTGCTGACTCCAATGCGTGCACAATACCCAGGCCAGATGTTAGAGTGGAAGCTATGTCACAAGTAACAAATGGGTCTTTGTTAAATTGGGGCAGTTCAAGTTAAGAAAGCCACTGACTCTCAAGTCAAACCTCGAGGCCAAAAATTTCCAGGCTATAGCTTTGCAGAGAGATGTCCACAAATGCTGAGAAAACTCAGCGGATTGTCAGCGTGTGGTACACCCAGGTAGGCATATATCAAATGTCATGATCAAATTATAACATCTGCTTTAAAAGCTGGAGGTCACAGATGGTGTATATTCACGTTCATTTTAAAAGAAAGTTGCTAACATGGTCACTTTATCACCCAAAGGAAAACAAGAAGCGTGTTTAAGATGACCTTGGTTTTCTTAAAACGTGGGGGTAGAAAAAAGTATAATATATATATATATATATATATATATATATATATATATATGATGCTATATTGAACATAAAGATTTCTTCAAGCGTATCTCTGTAAACCAAGTTTAAAAAACGATTCAGGGCACAAAGTGGTTTAGATAATCTGTTTGGTGCCTTGCTGAATTCTGAACATAATCCAGCACTTGACAATTGATTCTTGAGACCTTTGGTTTATTTTCAGTAAGGCACAATCTGAAACCTGCAGCACTTCACAGATTTTCCGATTTGCATCTCTGGGAGAGGGGTGGGGGGGGGCATCTGCCAATTAAATTGGCTGCTATCCAACATCCCAATTTGGTTATTATCTACATGTCCCCCACCCCAACCAGGAAAAAAAAAATTAACATGTTTTGACCATGCCTGAGAGTTAGTTTATAGGGCATGAACTGTAATACTATGTAAAAGTGTGTGTGTGTGTGTGTGTGTGTGTGTGTGTGTGTATATGTATATGTGTATATATATATATATATACATATATATATATATATGTATATATATAAATATCTAACCAGAAAGCATCACTGAGGGTTTCTGAGGTCAACTTTTCTCTGTTTTTCACC